GAGCCACCACTGCCCGGCCCTAACTCTTCTTTCAACATATCTCCTCTTAGGACAACTCTCTTATGCACCAAGTAAGAATCTCTATCAACTTCGAAACTTGATGAACACTGGCAAGTAAACAAAACATTTAAACACTGTCACCCTCAGATGCTGAAAAGTAGCAAGAAACAGTCATTCCAGATGGGTAAATAAATTAAAAGTATCCAATTACCTAAGGAATTACACCTTTCAATATGATTAGGAACAGGCTGCAGGGACGCAAACCTAGAGTCGGGTCTGCAGCTCTTCAGCTTGACAAACAGGGCCTTCTTCCAGGCGCAGGTGAAATAGCGCGTGCCCCTGAACGTGCCATCTGTACAGCCCGCACATTCATCCTCCTGAAAAAGAAAGGTTTTGGTATGTGTTACACCGGAAAGAGCTATGGAGTTTTCACTTTTTCTGAATTTCTTTTTCAAATCTTTTCTGAACAGATCATCATGAAGGAAAAGGGACTGACTAACTGGTGCTTTGGCCCTCAGCTGGTGCTTTAAGAAAATCATTCTTTAGCTTTCCGGGAAGTATTTGATGCATTTCCTTTCAAAACACATGCTCAGAACTTCCTTGGTTTACTGAGTTTCCCTGAGCCATTTCAAAAGTATTAAAATCAAGGGGCAGGAGTAGATAAATTACCTAGTTCCTCACCAGCAAGAAGACAAGTGAAAAAAAATTAAAAACTATATTTAGGTAATAGCTACATTTATTCAAGTTCTCCCTCCTGGTTATGAAATATCACACAATATACTATTTTAAGACCCCAAAATAAAACCTTCCCCTCTCCCAAAGACTCCAAACATGATGATTAATTTTAAAGTCAGTCACATCCCTGAACTGACTGCAATGGGAGGAGGCTAAAGAATAAGAAGGAAAACTGGTCACTGAACTGCTTTCTTTGCTGCATTCTGTTTGTATGTGGAGACTACATGTACTAGCCTAAAAATCAATCTATTCCTTGATCACAAACAAACATGAGGAATAAGTGGGCGAGAAGCCTGAGGAATGGCAAAGGGTGAAGGTAAGCAATAATATAATATTTCTTCTACTACTGGATTTTTTTTTGAGAAAAAATAACTTACCAAGAAATTATCTAATAGAGGAAAACCTAGTTTTAAAACCCATGAAGAAAAGTTGTAGATTTCAAGCCAAAATAAATTACCAGTTCTAGGCCTGCTAGCATGTCACTGAGCCCAGGCGGCTTGCCAATCCAACGGATAACCCCATAGAGCGGGGGATTCTTTTTCACTTCAGCCAGTGAGCCCACCTCTAGGCCGTATGCATTATCAGAAGAGATGGGCAAAGGTGGACTCTCCTGGACAGGCGTGCTGTTCAGCTCGCCCATCACAGGCTGCACTGACAGTGGCTGTGGGTTGTGAGCAATGTTGCCGTTAGTATTGGGCATCTTGGTCAGGCTGAACGGTAGAGAGTGAACAGTGTTCTCGCTGGATAAGGAGTTCATGGAAGGAGGTTGTGGTAGAGGTGATGAAAGTTCACAGTCTGGAGACAGCTCTGAAAGTGACTTTGCAGGGTCTTCTGCCACTATGAAAAATTGTCCTTAATTAGAAAAGGCTGTTCAAGAACATTAAATATGACTGCATCTTCTAAAAAACAACACAAAGGTCTAGTCTAACTGATCACATGATCCCTTTGCAAGTCTGCTTGAAAGCACTGTAAACTCATTGGCTCTGAATAATGTTCTTGCTCCTCTTCTCAACCTCCACAGTTTCCTGTCTCAGTAATCTGGCATTGGTCATCTAAGTCTAGTCAGCATCACTTAGATTATATTCTTTCCCATAATATGAGTAAGTTAGAAATTAGTATGAAGAGATATAAAAATTAAATAATAATTCTAAATAACCCATGGATCAAAGAAAAAAAAAGAAAAAGTTTTAAAAATAAAGAAAAAAAAGAGAGAAATGAAACCAAAAGAACATGTGTGGAATACAGATAAGGAATGTTTTTAAAAGAAAACTATTGACAGTTAATTTTAGAAAAATACCCAAAAAGCTAAGTATTAATTAACTTACATATAGCTTGGTATATCAGAAAGACTGAACAAAAAGAGAGCAAAGATTAATGAAAGGGGGAAAA